GGCCTGTGGAAGCCTGGCATGGCACATTTTGTGTGGAAAGCTGCCTGGTGTGACTGCTGGCACCTGTGCTCTGTGCCCTCTTCTTTTTTTCCTGCTCCTTACCCAGAAAGATGATACTGGATGACTCTCAGGCAGTTAGTTTTGTGTTTGAACAATTCTTGGTTATTATCATCAAATATCTTTTTATAAAGTTTCTGTTTACCTGGTAAAACAAAGAAGGAGTTGCAAAACCTTCTGAAGACTTAGAATGAATATGCTGAGAGTAACTAGTGTTTATAAACAGAGGAATGATAAATATAACAAATTAATAGGTAGAGAAGGGTATCCTTCTCATGTGTGTGTCTTTTAGAAGGCCTTGTAGCATCCTGGGATTATAGAGGGGAGGGAATGAAAAGATCTGGTGGCTTTGTCTCTGTCTGACCATAGGTTTTTTTTTAAATAACATCCACCTCTGTCTGCTAACTGCATTTTGTTATCATCAATGATATTCTGTTCCATTTGGATAGATTAATAAAATATGAATATTCTCTAATCTTTCTGTCACTTTCAGGAACCCCTTCCTGAAACAGGATAGAAATAAGTGTCCACCTTCACCACTAGCCTGGACAGCCCTGGATGGATGCTAGAGTTGGTCCCTGGAATATTCACTACCCACTCACCTTTTCCTCAGTGTCTTTCTCCTTCTTCTTCCTCTTCTTCTTCCTCTTCCTCTTCCTCTTCCTCTTCTTCTTCTTCTTCCTCTTCCTCTTCTTCCTCTTCCTCTTCCTCTTCTGACTATTTGATAATATGTTTGCACAGGCCCTAGGAGAGTTAAATAATTTGATAATGAAATAAGATTTTATGAGACTCTTGACCTAGCATCTCTACACACTTATCTACTTCTTTTAATGGCACCTTCTTACTAATCTTGAAATCCTGAAATCTCCTAGAGTGTTTATATCTTCCTGTTCCCTTTTCCTCACATCTATTGGGGTGCCAAGCCACCCAAATAATAATAATAATAATAATAATAATAATAATAATAATAATAATTATAATTATTATTATTATTTGGGTGAAATAATTATTTCATATAACTGCCTCTGTGACTTGGACTGAGTACCATGTTTCCTGATGGGCATGGTGAGAATATCTGTGCCACAAGGTTGTTTGGAGAAAGGAACAGAATACTGTATAGAGAATGATTAGAAAGTGTCTGGTACATAACAGGTGTTACAGAAGTGTGAGCTAAGAGTATTGTTGATAGCTTCCTTCATTCCTTTGCCAGAGGTACCATCTCCAAACATTGCTTTCATCAGGCCATACTCCTGCTCAAATCCTGAAGTCTCCCCATTGTTTAGTTAGCATTGTCCCTAAAGTGAGCATGCAAGGCAAAGTGCCAGAGTGTGGTAAGAGAATCTTAAGATTTCTTGCATATTTTTCTCACATTCTTTTATATTTTCTATTTTTTGAGTATGTTTTATTCTGTATATTTATGAGAGAGGGTACATATTCAACATTTAAAAATGTATAAAATACAAGTGTATTCTTTTATAAATAAATGATAATCATCTGTTGGTATGTGGAAAAATATGTTACTGATAGAATAGGGCAAGCAACCAAGTTTGGAGACCCCCTGTAAGATGAGATTCAGATTCCCATGCATGTCATTTCTCTGTGACTGGCCCTAGACTGTGGCCACCGACTTTCCTCCTAGTGTCCCTCCTGTGACCCTCCTTCTCTCTCCTGCTCCTCTCTTATGCCTTTCAATTTCTATGTTATTGTGTATCCTCTTTCCCTGTTCCTCCAATATCCTCTTTCATTCTCTCATTGTCTTTTTTAATCCAGAAGTTCACCTTAAATGCTACTTGTTCCTTTGAGCCTGCCAGGACAATTCTAGCTTGAAATGTTTCCTCCAAGATTTGTAAATGTTCTCTGTTAGTACTATTCACTTGTCCCCTGTTTTTCTGTGTTGTGTTGAGATCTTTTGCAATGTTACTTTTTTGGTTGTATAGTTTGGTTATTGTTAATTCTTACTGGACGTGCCTTTAAATTATATTTCACTTGCTAACTTTATTTTGAGCTGTTTTGTCATTTCTCTCATTTATCATTTATTCAAGACACGTAACTTTACTTTTTAGATGACATTAATATCTTTTTTATCATGGTAATATATAATTCTTTAAGGAAAAGATTCATTTGTTAAATTTGTGATCTGCAAAACCTTGGATTTGATAGCATGCTTCAGCTTGAGGCAGACATTTATCTACAGTGCATTAATGAACATTTTTGAATGTAGATTCTTTATTTTCTTTTACTCCCAGTTCTATAAAAATCACAATCCATGTGTTTAATGCCCTTCTTTTAGCAGTTATAGTCCTAGTTCTATTTGGCCTCCTAGGGTGGTCATTCTTGTGAGGAAAGCTGGGTGGCGTGCAGAGCAGATCCATTCAATCTAGTTCTCCCTCCTCAAACATGCTAAAAAAGGCTGTTTTATCAGCCAAGCTTTTCCAGTTTGTGATAGCAGTGTGTAGATCATTGTAGATGTTATTGGACTTGGAGTCAGAAGACACAGGTTTAAATCTTGATTCCATGACCTGTTGGTTGTTTGAACTTGACCAAGTCATTTAACCCTCATCTGAAATGTAAAGTTAATAATCTCTGTGTCAGAATTATAAGGATTGATTGAGATAGTGTCTATGAATGTGCTATGTACTTGGGAGATTGTTCATAAGTGTTTGTTTAAAACAAAAGAAGAAATAAGAGTCTCCCCTGTCTTCTGTGGACCTTCTGAAACAGAGTATATCATGAGAAACTGACAAACAGATTCAGAGAGTGTGCCAAACTTAGGCTTGAGACTGAAGGCTGAGTGTTGAGTTGGCCTGGTTTCTGACTTGTCTCTACTAGAATGTCTGTGGCTTCCCCAGAGAGTATGAAGATTAATTAGTTAATCTTTGTAAAGTGCTTTGAAGGTGAAAAGTGCTACATAAGTGGAATGGTTGAATTGCTATTGGAGATGTAATAATGGTGGCACCATATTCTGCATTCTTGCCTGTCTTGACATCAGTAATCAATAAGAGAAAGTTCTAAGATGTTTTGCTTAATGTGAAAGAAGGCTTTCATTGTGTGATTGTGATAACACACTTCTTCTTGTAGTCTTGCACATAGCAGCTTTCTATTTCTTCCCAGCTGAGGAATGCTAGGGTCATTTAAGAAGCAACAGTCTCATCCTTTGGCTTCTTGGGAATCTCTGGCTAAGGCAGTCTGATTATAAATCCTAGCCAAGCTTAGGTAGAGGGATAGTTTGCCAGTTTTGGATGCTTCCTGGGTCCTTGGCACCTGAATTTTTTCAGTCTAATACTGCATAAATAGAGAAAGAGTGTTGTGTGATTATACAGTGGCATGGATCAGTGTGAATAACTGATGCAGAGTGGTACCATGGGTTAGTTGAAAGAGATGTGGCTAGCTGTGTGTCCCTAAGCAGGTCACTTTTCTGAGCCTTTTAAATGGCAGCATAGTTGTTGAATACAATACCAAAGGTGGCTAAAAGGAGGGTGAGTTTCATCCTTTCTTGGAAGATTTTGGGAGCTAAGAAAGTTTTCATAGAATTAGTGGTACATAAGCTGGACTCTAAAAGTTGATTCATGGTTTACCAGGTAAGGAAGGGGCATCTGTAGCATAAGGAATAGCACATGCTGATGCATGAAATAGCACATCTGAGTGGACTCACTTCCAGTTCTCATAATATTACCAGACACCCTGTGGGCTGCATAGGCTTTGTTCTGAGGAAGCCCAGGAGTCAGATTCCAGTGAATTCCTTAGTATGTACTTTAGTGTCTACAAGCATGTTAAACCTGAGAATTATATCCCTGCAGAGCCCTGTATCCCTGTGATATTTCCTTCATGAATCTATGGTAGTTTTTTAGCCAACACTATGAACCATTTGTTGAATGTGGGCCAGATGAAGCTTTGATATCAAACACAGAGTATGTAGTAGATTTGTCTAGAATTTAATATGCATTACTTTGTGTTTTGTCTCTTAAGCAAAATTTTTCTTTGTTAAAATAAACATGTATAAAGAATTTATACAGCGCACATGGTTATGCATATTTATTGCAGAGAATCTGTTAATAATCTATGCCTCATTGGATTTTGATTTGTGTTGAAATAACAAATGTGGCATTTGGCACAACTGAATAAGTTTGGTGAATTTTCTCTTATCTGGGAAAAGAAAGGCCATTTCTTCTTCTTCAAACTTCATTTTCTTTTATCATCTATAGCACTGGCTAGCATCCTGAGTGGTAATGGGGAACTGAATGCTTTTATGGCTCCAAATAATTTTGTCTTTTTAATTTTTTCTCCTTTCTTCTGTTATTCCCTTAACTCAAGTACACATAGACACTTGTCTTGGGACTGTTAGAATTGCTTCTGTATTTTGAACCTCTTAAGAAGTTGGATTTGATAGCATGCTTCAGCTTGGGTGGGAACACAGACTCTTATGTGGAGGGAAAAATGGAGAAAGAAAAAACAAAGAAACTGGCTATTAATTGAGTTAGGAGGAAAGCCTTAACAAATTGTGGTGTGGGGAACTTCAGTGGGGGTGAAGGACTCTGGGTTAGGTAGAAGGGACAAAAGCCTCAGAACAGGCATCTGTGCAAAGCTTGAGGAGGGTGCAAAGAAGAGGAGAGGTGGATAGGCTGTGAGAGTGGTTGAAGTTGATATGTAGTAATATTCAAGGGTATATCTATATTCAATGCAAGAGCACAGGCTTTAGAATCATCCTCTGATTCTTGCTCTGTGCTCACCACTTACTTGATATTTGGCAAGTCATTTAACCTTTCAGTTTCCACATCTGTAAAAGTTTAAATACTTGTACTTTCTTTACAGGAAGATAGGAAGACTTTTGGTACCTAGTAGTTGGTGCTAATGTAAATATTCACACTTCCTCTAGTAATTCATAACCTACCCATGAAATCACAGCCCTGGAATGAAGCCTTAATTCAAATAATGTTTATTTTTAGAAACTGGCAAGGTGTTCACCTGGGGCCGAGCAGACTATGGTCAACTAGGGAGGAAATTGGAGTTTCATGATAGCTGGAAACTAGAAAAACAAGATTCATCCTTCCCTTGCTCGAGACCACAGAACAGCCCACCTTCATCTCTGCATTGCCTTACAGGAGCAACTGAGGTAGGAAGTGACTTCTCACATACAAATGTCTCTTTTCCTTGTCTTTCTTTAAAGTGTTTACAAAGGGCCTACTGTGTGTCATGCATTATGATTGATTCCATGTAGAAACCTAAAGTGGCTTCCCCAAGGAGCTCATGGTTTAATATGTTAGAAAAGTCTATTCCCCAGTTACCCAGGTGATTACATCATAAGGCAGACTGTGTAACTCTTCTAAAGAGGTTAAAAATACAATATTTTGGGTCTACTATGAGGAGTGGGAAATGAATTCTGGGTACAGGGGTTGGCTTGATCTTAGAGAATGATATGGCTTTGAGCTGTTCTGTGGAGGATGGTTCAGACTTGAGCAAACACTTGGAAGAGAGGAGAAGACTTTTAGTTGGGTGCAACAGCAGGAACAGAATCATAGGGGTAGGAATGTGAAGAAAATGTTTTGGGGTAACGGGTGGTTAAATTTGGCTGAAGCATGGGGCAATTACGAGGTAATATCAGAAAGATGGGTTGGGACCTGATGCAGGGGGCGGCTTTAATACTGAACTAAATATTTTGCACTTCTGTTTATATTTCCCAGTATACAAAGCATTGTACTTCAGTTGCTTATTCAAGCCCCTTTGGTTCTCTAAAATGGCTTGAATTTCTGCATTTAAGGCAGGAGGCTTAATTTCTCCAGGGTGCATGTTTCTGTTACTAAATTTTACTTTACTGCTTTAAAGAAAGGCTAGTTTTTTGAGAGGAATGGCTATGCAGGAAATATGCCTCTGAACCCAGGTTGGTTTAATGAAGGAATTTAGTCTTCATTCAGATTCTGTCAAAAAATTAATAAGCTAGTGAGACTTCTGTAATTAGCATCAGACTAATTACAACCCTTTCCATACCTGGAGGGCTTCCCTTCCCCTGGGGACTGCTTGGCCTCCTCCTTCCGGGTATGTAGGACGATTCTCAATTTCTACTTCACATCCCAGCCCTGGTTCTCCTGGGTGTTCCTTAGTGTTAGGTTGAGTCTGCCTTTACTTCATTTCTCTTTCTCTTTGACTGAAAGATACTAAATAACACCACAAAGACAGTTTATACAAGGTAATAGTAATAATAAACCCTCCCAAAATCTTACCACCTTTACATAGCTACATTCTTTTTTGCATTTACACATATGTATACTCTAAAAATTGTAGTGATAGTCTTCATTATTTTGTCAAAAATTCTTTGCTTTGTTTCCTCTTGGTCTTTAAAATGATCATTTAAAATGGCTATATCACATTACTTGATCAGAAGGTTGTGGGATTTTCTAAGCCATTCTTTGGGTGTTGGATATTTACATCATTTTCTCTTTTTAATTTTTTAGTTTTTAATAACTGTTGTGAACCCTGCAGTGAATTCCTGTTGAACTCTTTCTTTAAGATAGGATCTTGGTAGAGCATTAATAACAAGGATATATAAAGAACTCATAAAACTTAGGACTGGGATGTAGCTCAGTTGGTAGAGTGCTTGCCTCCAATGCACAAGGCCCTGGGTTCAATCCCCAGCACCAAAACAAAAAACAAAACAAAAAACCAAAACAAAACAAACAAAAAAACCTTAATGCCAAAAAAAAAAAAAAAAAAAAATCCCCACATAATTCAATCAATAAATGGGCAAAGGAACTGATCAGACACTTCACAGAAGAAGAAATACAATTGATCAACAAATATATGAAGAAAGTTTAACATCTCTAGCAATTAGAGAAATGCAAATCAAAACTACACTGAGATTCCATCTCACTCACTCACAAATGGCAATCATCAAGAATACAAGCAAAAATGAGTGTTGGAGAGGATGTGGGAAAAATGGTACACTCATATATTTCTGGTGGGACTGCAAATTGGTGCAACCATTATGGAAAGCAGTATGGAGATTCCTAAGAAAACTTAGAATGGAACCACTATTTGACACAGTCATCCCACTCTTAGATTTATACCAAGGACTTGAAATCAGCCTTAAAGAAGAATGAAATTATGGAATTTTCCAGTAAATGGATGGAACTGGAGAGTATCATGCTAAGCAAAATAAGCCAATCCCAAAGAACCAAAGGCCAAATGTTTTCTCTGATATGTGGATGCTAATTCTCTGATATGTGGATGCTAATTCACAATAATCACGTGGGAGAATAGAGGTAATTTGGACTAGACAGAGGGGAGTGAAGAGAGGGGTAGGAATGATAGTAGAATGAATCATATACTTATTACTCTATGTGCATATATGATTATGTGACTGTTATAACTCTACATCATGTACAACCAGAAAAATAAGAAGTTATAGTCCATTTATATATGTGTCACAGTGCATTTTTTTTTTTTTTTTGTGGTGCTGGGAATTGAACCCAGGGTCTTGTGCATGTAAGGCAAGCATTCTACCAACTGAGCTATATCCCCAGCCCTTGTCACAGTGCATTCTACTGTCATGTATAACTAATTAGAAAAAATAATAAAAGAAAGAATTATTCTTCATCTTACCAGAAGAACCAGAGATTCAAAAACTTTATGACTCCCTGTGCCTCTGCTACCTAACCTCAAAGTCTCAAATTACCTACCCATGAAAGCATCCATTTACTGGAAAATACCATAATTTCATTCTTTTTTAAGGCTGAGTAATATTCCATTGTATATATACCACAATTTTTTTTAATGAGGTAACTTTTTTCATAGCTTTATTTTATTCATTTATTTTTTATGTGATGCTAAGGATTGAACCCAGGGCCTCACATGTGCTAAGCAAGTACTCTACCACTGAGCCACAACCCCAGCCCATCCACAGTTTCTTTATTCATTCATCTGTTGAAGGGCACCTAGGGTGGTTCCATCATTTAGCAATTGTGAGTTGAGCTGACATAAACATTGATGTGGTTGCATCACTGTAGTATGCTGATTTTAAGTCCTTGGGGTATAAATCTAAGAGTGGGATGACTGTCAAATGGTGGTTCCATTCTAAGTTTTCTTAGGAATCTCCATACTGCTTTCCATAATGGTTCAACCAATTTGCAGTCCCACCAGAAATATAGGAGTGTACCATTTTTCCCACATCCTCTCCAACACTCATTTTTGCTTGTATTCTTGATGATTGCCACTTGTGAGTGAGTGAGATGGAATCTCAGTGTAGTTTTGATTTGCATTTCTCTAATTGCTAGAGATGTTAAACATTTCTTCATATATTTGTTGATTGATTGTATTTCTTCTTCTGTGAAGTGAAGAATAGTTCTTAAGATATACCTTATGTAATAATACATATTAGGGAGAATAGCATGCATAGTTCTTGGCCTGAAGTAGGTACTCAGTAATTATTGGTTCTGTTCTCTTCTGCTTTGAGAGCTTTTGATGTCTTGAGGTGGCCACAATGTGCAGTACTGTGACAGATGTGGTCAGTGTAAACATGTAGCCTAAGAATCTAATGGGTGTGTCTTTTATGTGGCTTCTTAGTGGAGCAATATGGGAGTGGGTTTGTGCTTCAGTCCTCTTGGCAGCTTCATTTTAATGTTTGCCTCCTCGTTTCCAGTGTCTGGGGTGCTGGTATTTATACACTGGTCTCCCTGTAGATTTAGACTCCTGGCTATTACCCATTGGTAAATTTGGTTTGGGAGTTATATCCAGTTGTTGATACCTAAGTCTGGCCCATTGAGCATCCATTTTTCTGAGGACCAGAGAGAGCCAGACCAGTGGGATTTTATAAGCTGGTGGAGTGGGTTCACCTTGGAAAAGATAAGAGCCATATTAAACTAGATGCTGCCCTGGTTGGGAAATATAGGGATCCCTGGGGAAGCAGGAACAGCCTTGAGCTAAGCTGACAATTCGTGACTTTTAAGCACTTGTGTGGAACATAGCTGACCAGTTGAGTTTAATTTGCATTAATTGCCTTTAATATCCAAGGAGTAAGGATCTGGGATCTCAGATGGAATGTCTACTGGTCCAGAGTGACAGCCAAGTAGAAAGGTGAACTGAGCTGGGATATGGTATAACCTTTCTTTCCCCTGATAAAAGAAAGCAAATAAATACAGAGCTACTCAGTGCTTATCATGGGCCAATGTACTAAATACTTTATACATATTATTTCACCTTTATAATAAACCTTTGTGCATGTGTTAAGATCATTGCTTTCCCTCTTAAAACTGCTTTCATTGTGTCCCATAGATTCCGGTATATTGTGTCTGTATTGTCGTTTATCTCTAAGAATTTTTTTATTTCCTCCTTTATGTCTTCTGTAACCCATTGATCATTCAGTAACATATTGTTCATTTTCCAGGTGATACAGGATTTTTCCTTCCTTCTTTTATCATTGATTTCCAGTTTCATTCCATTATGATCAGATATGGTGCATGGTGTTATCTCCACACCTTTATATTTACTAAGAGTTGCCCTATGGCATAATATATGGTCTATCTTTGAGTAGGATCCATGTGCTGCTGAGAAGAACGTGTATCCACTTGATGATGGTTGATATATTCTATATATGTCGATTAAGTCTAGGTTATTGATTGCGTTATTGAGTTCTATAGTTTCTTTATTCAGCTTTTGTCTAGAGGATCTGTCTAATGGCAAGAGCGGTGTGTTGAAGTCACCCATAATTATTGTGTTGTGGTCTATTTGACTCTTGAACTTGAGGAGAGTTTGTTTTATGAACGTTGCAGCACCATTGTTTGGTGCATACAAATTGATAATTGTTATGACTTGTTGGTGGATGGTTCCTTTTAACAGTATACAGCATCCTTCTTTATCCCTTTTGATTAACTTAGGTTTGAAGTTGATTTTATTCGATATGAGTATGGCCACTCCTGCTTGCTTCCGAGGGCCATGTGAGTGGTATGATTTTTCCCAACCTTTCACCTTCAGCCTGTGTATGTCTTTTCCTATCATATGAGTCTCCTGAAGGCAGCATATTATTGGATTTGTTTTATTAATCCAGGTTACTAGCCTATGTCTCTGATTGGTGAATTTAAGCCATTAACATTTAAGGTTACAATTGAAATATGGTTTGTACTT